TGGTTTCGTCCCCGGCGGCCACGGCTCCTCGGGGTCGAACCCAGAGCTCGGTTCCCAGTCAGGCGAATACTGCGGGGTTTATCGGCCTGGTGAACCGCGCCTGTCCGCCCCGGAGAGGCAGGGAGCCCGCCCGAGGAAAGTGCTGGCTGCAGAGCCCCATGAATGGCGGGCAGGGCCCGCCTGGGCTCAGGTAACTCCTCCAGGGCAGGTTTTCCTGCGGTGGCGGGGTGAGTGCCGAGCCGGGGGCTGTCGCCTGCTCGGGGTCGCCGTAGCGAGTTTGGGATGGCTTGGGCAGCACGGGAAATGCCGAGGGTCGCTGCCGGGTCCCTTGGAGCGAGAGCCCGGGGTAGAAGCAGGAGCCCTGGCTTAGGAGAGTTCACTATAAAGCCCATCGCTGGAGGCCACAAAAGGGAAAAGTATGTGGGAGCCTTTTTTTCCCCGTGTTTCCTTGGAGGGCGCGAGGAGCAGTTAGAAGGAGACAGCGTATTGTTTCGCAGTATTAGCGGCTTCCCCTGAATCACAGAATTGCTAAACAGGGATTATATAGCAGGATTAAGGAGGGGTCAGGTTTTACCGTCTGCATTTCTGCAATCTGCGTGTTCGGTGACTACTACCATGTACTTTGCCTGCACTCCGATATTTATTGTTGAAGGTGACTTTTGTCCCAGCCACGGCAGCCCTTAGCTGCTCTTCTATGTCCATTTTTGTCCATTGGCTGCGTGTGGTTTGCACCCTTTCCCCTCTCTTCTTTTTCTTCCTTTGCATGCCAGTCTTTGGTCTTTTTTGCAGCTTCTTGTTTTAAGTTCTTCAACCTTTCTCAGGCTAGAGGTGCACCTGGAATAGCTTTTTTTTTCTCTCAGTCTGGGGAAACCTGTTAGTTAGTAACTCATAATCCCTTGTTCTCCCGGCGATGCTGGCAGGGGAGGAGCAGAAGAATACTCTTGCTTATTGTAAGCAAAAGCGTGGCTAAGCCTCTTCTGCAGCTCTGCTTCGTGTCTGAGAATCATTTGTCCTCTGAGGAGAGCTGTAGAGAACTCGGCAGCTTTCCTGCAGGAACCTGCCTCAGCAGGCACTAATCAGGAGTCCTGTTTGCAGCAAAGCATCAGCCTCTGCAATTTGGAAGAGGAACAGCTCTACTTGTGCCATTGCTGGCACTAGCTACAAACAGGCTACTGTCACTCATAAACAATTACAAGATTTGGCAGCATGGGCTGCTTTTTTCTGGAAATAGAAATGAAGTCATGGGCACAGTGATACGTACCAGGCAGTTGCTAAAAGGACTGGACTTTTTAAACAGGCCAGTGCAGAAAAATACTGTAGGAACTCACAGAATACACTGACTGGGGGGAAATACAATTGAATGGGTCTGCAGTCCTACAAATACTTTTAAAATAATATTCCCTGCAAAATATGTGTGAAATAAGCCCAGATTTTGATTCTGTGACCCTCTGCTATGCAGGAAGTTTAAATAGAAAATAATATCACTGTTGTGAATTTAAAAACCTTCATAATGAAAAAAGCCTCATAGATCACTTGATAGTGAGCTGCTTTCACAAGTGCCTCAAGATATTTTTTCAAGAAACTGTCACAGTTCTTGAATTGGTGTTGAGATTGCTGCATTCTGGTCTTGTTTGTAGTGTTGAAATGAGAGAATAAGGAACAAAAGGATAATAGACAAGAGGAGGACAAAGAATGTTCTGGGGGAAGAAAAAGTCTAGAAAATGGTGCAATGTTTGGCTGCTCAATGGAATGGTGAAGACCAGCAGAGATGATTAGAAAAGCTGGCAGCAAATTACTGTGAGGGTCTGCACTGATTATTGGGAAGATGACAGCTGGAATGAAACTGGGATTGAACTGGTAACCACTGCAGTCCAGTTTGTTTTACATGTTCTTTTAACATGCCATTCTGGACTCTCAGGATGGCCCTGGCACCACTTGGACAAACATAAATGTAAAATGTTTTGAGTATGGGCAGTAGTGTTGCTGGATACCATCTGTTCACTTGGCCTCAACCTGACTATAAATAATCCATTTTATTTGTTTCCTGGTATGATATTTGTTTTGCTGGTACTATGCTCTATCCTATGGGATTACTTAAAGGACTGTCTTGTGATAAATGTTTTTCAGTAACTCCTTACAACCCTCTCTCTCTGGTATAATGCACTGATCTGCACTGAGATTATTTAGCAGAGAAGTTGAGATAAGAATGGTCTACATGCAAGTCAAGAACAGCTCTTCAGTGTGCTTAGGGAAGCAAGTCTGTCCTGTTGGTTGTGTGGTGTCAGTATGATTTACAAATATGTAACAATATTTTAGTTACTTTGTAAATTCACTATAAAGTGATCCTGTTACAATAGGTTGGGGCTTGAACAGTGTCGTCGACCATAGAAGGAGATAAGGTGGTGTGAAAGACGAGCGATGAGTGGCAGCTTTCACTGGTACTCTGCAGAGAGGTGATCTCAGGAAAGACCATCGCTTTTGCCAGACAAGCTCTAACATTTTCCTGGCAAGCGTAAAGTTTCTGTCTGAAAGTTTGTACTAAGCCTGCAGACTTTGTGATGCTGCTGTAATTTGAGATGCGTCATATTTTTATTGTGTTGCTGTGTTAACTCTGAAAAATGAGATTGATGATATGATGTCACCTTTAATTTTCGTAATATTGAAAATAATTTGGTATGCTGGAAAACAGGGCTGTTTCGTAATGTTGCCTTTCATCTTTGTGTGGCATGCTGATGGTTGGAACAGTAGGCAGCATAGCAGCAGCATCACTCCTGGGTTCATCTTTCTGTCCAACTTTGTAGCAAAGGGCCAGTTGTATGTTTTTCCAGTGTTGTTCTTACCCTCATGAATATTCTTTGTCCTAGGGAAGTGAAATGCGTTAATTTGATTACTTTTGTTTTCTCTTTTTCAGCTAGTGGAAGTGTTAAAGACATCTTTGTTGGAGCCAGAAATGGACAATACAGGCTTTTAAAAATAGTCATTGACAATGGTTAGTCAAATTTTATTCTTTTTTTTTTGGTTCTTTTACTAGTTGTTTTATATAGTTGTTAAAAGAACTATTTTCCTATTTTTTTTAATGACTTACATGTACTATTGTTTAAAAAAAAGAACTCTGCCAAACTTAATGTTGCTAAGGTTTTTAATATACAGAAAGTAAAATTTTAATTTTAGTGGTCTTATGCCTTTTTATTACAATACTCCTGTATTTTTGCTTTTGAATTTTCCTCCCAAATGTAATTTCATGTTTTACCAAGAACTGCTGTGTATTTCATATGGATAGTATAAATAAGCTTATTCTTATCTCTGACTAAAGAAAGAGTAGAGGAAATGAAAATTTCCACACCTATGTAGCACTTGGACACTTACACAACAACCAGTCAGCTTAGATGTAACTAAGATGGAACTGTAAATTTTATCTGCTTTTTTAATCAGGGTATATCAGCATAAAAGTGCTACATGTAGAAAGTCCTGCTAAAGCAGATGTTTAAATAATAATCTGGCTACATAGAAAATATCTTTATAAGTCTGTAACTAGATTTAAATTTTCAAAGTTAAAACTGTTTTTTAAATCTCAACATATGTGTATAAAGAGAAAATTACATAATTTCAATCAGATCTTGAGTTTGATTTTTGAACTTCTTGGCAAGGGATATAGGCTGCAAACATTGAAAGACAGAATATATAATTGTTATTTTCTTTAATAGCAGTGTTGGTTGGTTGTATAAGAGATTTCCTGGTTTAGTCCATCTTTTCAAGTATGTCAGTTGTCCACTTTGAAATAGTTTGTTCTAGACTTCATTCATTTACAGCACACTGAAAATCTGTTAGCTGGAAAAAGTTACATGTACATACATACACAGACACACTTCTATTGTTAGGTAAATAACCTACTGTTACCTTCTTTGTGTTTGCTTTACTTAGGAAGTCTTCTGATATTTTAATATAGCTTTCTTTAAGGGAGTACTAAGATTACAGGCAGGACTTTGTGATAGTCTCCGTAGCACAAGGTAAATGCTGACAAACCATTGCTTTGGGGATTTTTTTCCCATTAAGCAAGGCAAAACAATATGCTTTTGTGTATATGCTACTTTGTAATATGAAGTGAAGCCTAGATAAGAGATACAAATTGAATACTTTCCCTATTTTTCATTTCCTATTTTTTCATTTTTGTGTGTATGTATACATGTGTATACACATATATATAAACATATATATATAGGTATATGCATTTCATCTCTGTAAGAAGCAGAATCCAGTCTTTGATAGTATTTTCTGTGGTTCAAAAAGAAACCTGTGAGACTCCCAGGACACTGGAAGAAGAGCAGTTACCTCATCTGTCTTTAGAAGCCTTACACAACAGATAACAGCCAACAGATAATATTCAAATTTGGTTTTGCTAATCTGACTTAATAAGAGAAGAGATTTGCTGCTGGGCATGAAGTTCCTCTGGCTGAATCTTAAATCCAAGTGGGTACAAACCCACAGAGTTCACAAATGGCAAGTACATTCAGAATGCTCTTGGTTTAGCATACAATTTCAGGTACTTAGCATCTAATTCAGAGAAGGGCCAAACATCCTTGTCCTGAGCTGTTTGTGGTCTGTGAGTTACTGTGGTGAATGCTTTGCTTGAAGTTTGCTGTAGAGGCATTTGTGTGCTGTTTTACTTTTGTCTGAAGTTTTATAAGTTAAGCCCTAGACTCTCAAAAGGTGATTTGTGTACTAGCTGCTATGATGGTCTTCAAACTGTTGCAGGACCTCTCTTCCACTTGTTCGGGCTAGTATTTCTTGGGAAGCTGATAAATGTTTTGTAAGACAGTATACTAACACTTTCCTTTGGAAACTGAGATGTGATGTATAAATAAGAGAAAAATCTTGTTGGTACAGCTGTTCACATAATTAAGTACTATTGAAGTATTCTATACAGATTTAAGCCAATTATACATAATAAACAACTTCAGTCATTTAAAGGGACCACAGCTATGAAGTTATATTAGAAAGAGGTTTATCTACTTAGATAGTCAAGTTAGTGATTAGTGCAAGCATATTCATTCCAAACCCTTTTCACTGTATAACTGGGTTATTGTCCCCTTACAATAAATACAAACACTAATATGTTATACCAAGAGCATCAGTAATTATAATTCTAAAATTTGAAAGTTTACTCTTAAAGGATTCCATATTAAAAAATAAACTAACTATTAGAAGACAGTTCTTATTTCTCTTCCATGTATGCTATGCTAAAAAAAACTAATACATAGAAGCATGTGACTTCCCAACTCAGTATTTTCTCAATCAGTATTTTGGTTAAAGTAAGTTAGGGTTTGAACATACACAGCTTTTGTAGGAATTAACCCACTTTTACTCTTACTCCTCTTGTCTTCCATTCTTCTGGGCATAATTATGAACAACTATGTGTCCAGTTAACTTCTTGTGGTAATTATTAATTCTGACAGATGGTATTAACTACATTGTTGCTAACCTCTAGCTGTGGTTATTGATTTTAGAGCAGCTTGTTGTGGGATCCTCTAGACGGCCAGCTGGATCATGGGAAAAGGATTATGATTCCTTTGTCCTTCCCCTTCTTGAAGACAAGCAACCATGTTATATATTATACAGATTAGATTCTCAGAATGCTCAAGGATATGAATGGATCTTCATTGCATGGTCACCTGATCACTCTCCTGTAAGTAGCAGTCATCAGAGGATTTGTGTTAATGAATTTTCAACTGTACCATTTGATCTGAATCCAAGTTATGAAGGAAAAGGATTTGAAGAATGAAGCATTCCCCAACCTCCCCCTACATTCCCAGAAGAAAACTAGGAAAATGTTTCTTTAAGATGATTAAAGAGCCAATCAGTAGGTCTAGATGGATTACAGCTGATCCTGACTGGTGGACACAATACAGTTTTTTTTTGCCCTGTTTGTCTGTCCTACTGTCAGTACTTGAGAAAAAAATATGGAAGGATATAGGACAGAAATCTTAATGGGTGCTCGTATAGAGAAGGATTATAGTATGAGCTCAAGTTGTTTGTTCTGTTTGGCTTGCTGTCTGTCCAGCTGGCACTTGTGGATATGTTGTGTGCCCCAGAGTACACTCCTTCTTAGTGGTTTGCAAGCATGGGACAGGACTGAGGTTAGAATTACGGATTTCTAGGAGAAACTAAGATACAGGTTCTAGGAATGTGAGATAAGGCAAGGCAGAAAGCAAAGCTGTTCCAATATTCCTACTGCTTTCACTAGCAGTTAGGAAATAATAAGACACCGAAAGTTGATGTACACAGAGACAATTATGTGGAAAAGGTGAGACATTGTGGAGAGGATAACATGGTGGTGAAATGAAGTGGGAAGGTGGGACTGCTGGGAGAGGAGTAAGTGACTATGTTAATTCAAGTTAATAGGGAGCAAACATAATTTTTCCACTCCGTAGTTGAACCATAACTATCTGGAGTCACTATCAAATCAAAAATAATAATGAATTATTTCTAGTCTGCCGTTTGCTGTCTGTTGTATCCATTAGTACACAGACCAGATGACAAAAGATTCTAACAATTGTGGTTTTTTCCCATTTAAAATTAGTAAAGATTGATTGATTGATTTTTTCCATTTAAAAAAATGCTCATACTCCAACTAAGGCTGCAATTCAGTTTTGAAGTTACTTTGATAATAATACATAGTATTATGACCTTGTGAGTTTAATAGTATGAGTAAGTATCAAGTTTATAGTGCTGTTTCAACATTTAAAAATATTAAATATTAAAAATTAAAACCCTAAAAGCTACTGTTTTATTATATTCTAGGTTCGTCAAAAAATGTTGTATGCAGCAACCCGAGCAACGCTTAAGAAAGAATTTGGAGGTGGCCATATTAAGGATGAAGTATTTGGAACTGTACAGGTATGTTTTTCTTCGCAAAGTCAGGACACTGACTTTAAATACTGAATATAGTGGCTGATGTTATTGGTATGAATGTGGGTTGTTTATGGTCTTTTTGGATTAAGGAGAAAAGAGTTAAAAGCTATGTGTATTATTCCAGTGCTAAAGTATATTTAAGCTCATTTGAACAAGTTAATATGTAACATCAGCAGGCTTAGAAGTCCTTGCTTCAAATGTTTATGAAAACTAAATGACTTAAGAGTAATAGGCATATCTCTTAATCTCACTGCATGAATCCTCTAATAGAATGGAAGGAGTTGAAGGTTTGATGAAGAATAGAGGTTATTGTAGTGGGGAAAAAAGCTGTGAAAGATAAATGGGCCATTGTGGTAGATATGAGACTAATAATTCTATTGCTCACTGAATAAATAATTTGTTATATTTATCATTAACCTGTCACGGAGGCTTCATTATCCTAAGAAATATGTTAATAAAATTCTCTGGAGAGGCTGTATTATATATATATATATATATATATATATATATATATATATGTATTCCCTCTATATATAGAGGGAAGTAGATAACTGACTTGCTAAGAGGGTTTACTGGTAGAGGTCCTGTTATATTTTCTTGTTTGTTCAATCAACCAGTCTCCAACCACCACTTGCACCAAACCATTAGCAGCCTATGTAATATATGGAATTTGTGTCTAGCCCTACAAGTCTGAACTTCTGTCTCAGTTTTGAGAAAGGAGCATTACGTCTGTCTTACTGTTATTTCAGAATAGGCCTGGTACACATGGAAGATGAAATTGATGTAACTCACTTTTTCCAGGCTCATTATGTTACACTTACATATCTATAAATCATTGGTTTCAGTGTCTTTATAAACTTCTTAATTGTTGCTGGCCTTAAATGTTCCTCTGTGTGAAAATAACAGCTTCTTCAAGGTGTTCAAGTTACTGATCCCACTCAGGATCTTGATCATCAGCATCCAGTGGACTAATTTGTCTTTATTTTGTTAAACCTAAGGATGCTTTGGTTGCAACCAGCTCTGTTATTCTGCTGGAACCCTATTACAATCCCACCTGCTAATTCCTTGGATACCTCTGGGCTTCAGAAACAAGACATAATGGAATATTGGAATATTAAAATAAAATAACCATAACTGTACAGAAGGCAACTACTTTCTGCAATGCTCCATAGAAAGTCTTTGAAGAAAAGTTCTGTTCTAAAAAAAAACCTGATAAATATTGATATTGTGCTTTCAGGATGATGTTTCACTGAATGGATATAAAAAATATTTGATATCACAATCCTCCCCTGCACCTTTGACTGCAGCAGAAGAGGAACTTCGACAAATTAAGATTAATGAGGTACCTAAAATGTCTTCAAGCATGTTTGGGAAGTAGTGCAGAGTTCCAAATGTATTGTAGGGAAATGTAGGGTAAAAAAAGGCAGAACAGAAAATGGAAAGTTTCAGGAAGTGTGAGTGGATGAGCACATAAACATACTTCTCAGTGGGTTGAAACTGCAGGATGATGATGGCTGGAGTTGAAGTGGCTTGAGTGATCTCACTGAGTTTGAAAGGCCTAGTTTCCAAATCAGAGGCCTGGCAACTGCAGATTGTTGCAACTGCTTAATTGTTGCAACTTCAGCTTTTTCTATCACTGGATGTGCTCCTTAGTGAAGGGTGACCAGGCACTGGCACTGGCTGCCCAGGGAGGTTACGGAGTCTCCATCCTGTAGATATTCAAAAGATGTTAGGACAGAGGCCTGGGCAGCTGGCTCTAGGTGGCCCTGACTGAACAGTATCATTGGACAAGGTGCCCTACGGAGGTGTCTTCCACCCTCAGTCACTGTCCACATGTGATTGCCCCCATGCATTTCCCATGGTGGCAGGAATTGAAGAAAAAACACAGAATAGCAATTATTGCAGTGAGTGATTGCCAGGAGTATTTCAGCAGCCTTATTCTTAGATGAAAGCTACATAGTTTGTGGTACCAGTGCACTTGACTTTAAGACTGAGAAGAAGGGAAGAGAATTCCAATAAAAATAAAACAGAAATCCAAACCAAATAGCTGATCACTTTAAGAGACTGATTTACTTATGCTACAAACACTTCTTAGAAAAATCTCTATCAAAGGCCTTTAACCAAAAAAATTGTTGATTGCCATCTAGCTAATGACTGAAAAGTTTCAGAGGATTCTTTTTCTCACATTTTCCCTTCATTTGAACACTGTTTATGTCAGATGTATATTAAAATAGGCCATGTGCTGAACTTATTTTTTCTTTAGACTGTATGTTAGAGCTATGGTACATGTATTTGAAGTATGATTTATTTCTGCAGCTGGATACCAGGCAGCCATTGTGTTAAATACAGCTGTGTATCTTCTATGTTTTCACTCTACTGTCCTTTTGCTGCAAATTTGTTGTTTATTGACTTTTTTCCCCCAGTGGTGTCTTTTGTTAGTGTTCATGCCTGATTTTAACAATTCCATGCAGAAATACATTCACCATCATTAAATATTGCATTTTACTGCATCAGCTTTTGAAATAAAACAATAATGAAGTAAAATTTCTGTGGGATTGGTGATCACTTCTGGTATTTAGTGTATGTACTACACAAAATGTGTTTAGAAGCTGATTCACGCAGACTGTCTTTATGTGTTCTGAAATTTCAGCAGCACTACCTTTGCTTTTCAGGGACACATGAATTGTATATTGCTGCCATTTTGGCTTTGTTTGAAACATCTCACAATACATTAACTTACATCATTTTTCTCTTCATTGTTTCCACCATTACAAAACCTGTAATTAGATGTAGAAAACTAAAAGCTTTGCTTTTAAAAAGTTTTCCATATATACTCTTTCATAATTACCCTGAGAAATATTTTACTGGGCCAGATCAAAAGATCACCTAGTCTGTTGTCAAGTCCTTGAGAGAACAGCAGAAATCTAGGAAGAATGTAGGAGCAGGGCAAGAAGTCCATAATTATGTAAAATGCTCTATTGTTGCTTCAGCATTTGCAGGTAGGGAACTTCCTGTAAAGAAGATGATATCTTACTATACAATTCTTCTTAATGGATTTTTCATCCATCATCGAGTCTTGTCATTTTTATAAATCCACATAACAGGTTTTGTTGGTCACAGGTCCTATGGCAGCATATTCCACAGCCTGACAAAATGCTATGTAAAAAACCACTTACTGTTCTTTAGAATCTCTAGTTTATTCTGATACCCTACAGATAGTGTGGCAAAGGCAGACTTTCAGTCAATCCTCAGTTTCCTCCTCCCCTTAGATAAAGCCCTCTGTATCCCAGAATGCCAGCCATATCCTGGGTAGCATCAAAAGCAGTGTGGCCAGCAGGTTAAGAGAGGTGATCCTCTCCCTCTGCTCTACTCTGGTAAGATCCCACCTGGAACACTGCATCCAGCTCTGGGGTAGTCAGCACAGGAAGGACATGGACCTGTTAGAGTGGGTTCAGAAAGGGACAAAAAATGATCATAGGGCTGGAACAAATTCCTTGTGAGAAAAGGCTGAGAGAGTTGGGGTTGTTCAGCCTGGAGCAGAGAAGGCTTCTAAGGGAAATCTTAGTGGCCTTTCAGTACTTAAAGGGAACTTATAAAAAATAAAGGGTCAGATTTTTTAGCAGGAGCCTGTTGCAATAGAAAAAGGGGAAATGGTTTTAAACTAAAACAGGGTAGGTTCAGATTAGATATGGGCAAGAATTTGTTTTATGATGAGTGTGATGAGGTACTGGAAGAGGTTGCTGAGAGAGGTGGTAGATGCCCCATCCCTAGAAACATTTAAGGTCAGATTGGATGGGGCTCTGAGCTACCTGACCTGTTTGAAGATGTTGCTGCTTACTGCAGGGGGATTGGACTAGATCACCTTTAGAGGACCCTTCCAACCCCAACTGTCCCATGATTCTCTATCCATGGGCCTCTGTTGTATTCCTTATCAGTTATCTCTTCCAGGCTGATGAGTCCTAATCTGGGTAGTTCTTCCTCCTAAACAAGGCACTCCATACCTCTGATCCTTTTGCTTTTCTCTGCAGTTTTTCCAGTTCTGCTATATAATTTATGAGATGGAGGGATGGGGAAGCCAGATCTGCATGTGGTATTCAAGATGCAGGCATGTTACTGATACCTACAGTGCGTAATAATGTGTTCTGTTCTCTACTCTTTTTTCTAACAGTTTATAACCTTTCATTTGTGGGTGGGGAGTGTTTGGGGTTTTTTGTTTTGCTGGGGTTATTTTCAGATTTAGACAGAGTGGCATGCAATTTCTTGCTCCTGAGTGGTAGTAGCCAGCTCAACCCCATCACCATACAAGTAAAAAAGAGGGTTTTTTTCCCCCTGTGTAGATTTGCATTTATTCACAGGAAACTTCATCTGCCATTTTATCCAGTGCTCAGCAGCCATTACTACCTAAATCTTAGTGGTGTGAATTTAAATATTCTTAAGTGACTTAGGTGGTTCTGTTCATTTTCTTGTATCTGGAGTTACACTGGGTTACTCTCTTCCCTTGTCTATCTCCACACTTCACGGCTTGTTCTTAAGTTTGGAGTATTTATTTTCTACCGTTATTTTAATATGGTTTCTAGAGTATGGTATTTTATTATGGTTTATTACTTTTGTGATGCCTCTTTTATATTTGTCAGTCAGGCTTTTGTGCACATATATATTTTGCAAAATATTTTTTCTATAACCTTGTTAATAAATTTATCAATCTTTGTGCAAAGTAAGCTCTCCACCTGCTTTCTTTTCCTCTTTCCTTGTTGCTGACAAGCTGTTCTTTAAATTGTGAAGTATAAGTGTTGCCACAAGTGTTTGTTTTTAACTTTTTTATCAGTTTGTTTCATATTTTATTAGCACTTTTTTTTAAATAAAGCTGCACATCTTCTAATTGATAGATCTAAGGCCCACGCTTTCCATTTGGTACACTTTTTTGACTTCTGCAGCTTCATAAGCAATGTTAAATGTAATTGTGAAACTTTAAAAGGAAGTGAATATATTCAAAAACTAATACTTAGACAATAAATTAAGACAGAAGAAGACTGTAAGCCAGAGCTCATTTTAAGAGAAACTGAATGAATATTAAGATAAACATTCTTGAACATCAGCTTTTAAATAACTGTTCTCTCAAATAATTTGACACTAATATAACTGGATTATGAACAATTGTCTAGCTTGTCCTGGATTCTTTTTTTTTTTTTTGCTTTTTGCTAGACCTTCTAGAAGTAAGAAATTAGGATTTTGTTTGTTTGTTTGTTTGTTTTGGTATAGGCTTTTTGGGGGAGTATGTTAAAAAGGAGGGAGAGTAGTAGCTTTACTTTTCATTTGAGAAGATCATTTGATTTGTCTCATCATTTCTCTCTTCCTTCAAAAATTTTGATTACTTAAAAATCATATCTTTGTTTTGATATAAAATTTTTCAAGCTATAACAAAGTTTATAAAGAGTGTTTTCAGTTCATAAGTATAATACAGCATGTGAAAATAAAGATTTTTTTTTTCCTGGATTATTGTGTCTCTGTACTAGATTTTAACTTGGAACTTCTTCATTGACACTTGAACCAGTTCTCCCTCTGATGATTTTGTTGCTCTGCTAAGCAGAGCTGTTTCAGAGATAAGAAATTTTGCAGGCTAGAAAACAAACATGACCTGTAAATTAAAGAATGCAAATCTTTTGAATGTGGGGATGATTTCTTGGGGTAGTTTATTCTTGGAATAGCTACTGCTAACTCTGTGTAACCATATGGAATTCCCTGTCAGTCATTGTATGAAACCAAATGAATGCCTGCAGAGGTTTCTTTTAACATCTTGGCTGACCTGTGTTCCAGGTACAGGCGGATGTTGGTGTAGATACCAAGCATCAAACACTGCAAGGAGTAGCATTCCCCATTGCTAAAGAAGCTATTCAGGCTCTGGAGAAACTGAAAAATAAGAAACTCAATTATGTACAACTGGCAAGTATAAAATATTTTAATTATTTTTAATAATGAGTGTAAAATAGATTACCCACATATTAAACAATGTGTGTTGATATAGTATGCTGATAAATTACCATTTTGAATTAGATTAATTCAAACTTTTTTCCATCCTGTCATGTTCTCTGGTTTGTTTTTTTGCATTAACTATATCCATGTTTTCTTTGTTTACAGCAAATTGATATGAAAAATGAAACTATAATTTTGGCCAACACTCTTGATACTGAACTTAAGGACTTGCCAAGAAGAGTTCCAAAGGATGCTGCGCGTTACCACTTTTTCCTGTATAAGCACACACACGAAGGAGACTATTTGGAATCCATAAGTATGAGAAAATTTCTCAGTATGAAATTTTACAACAAATTTGTTTCAAATTCTTTGGGAGTTTTGAGACAGAAAGATGTGTCAGCGTGATCATAAATTTCATATTCATTTGGTTGTGAAACGGTGAACTTGTGAAGGAGAATTCTTGTGTTTGTAAAGTAGTGAGCTATCCCTTTTGATTATGAACACCCATGAATGTGAAATCATACAGATACCAGCCATTCTCTTATCCCCTGTTTGAAATTAAACATTTGCTGAAGCGAAAAAGATCCAGAATGGCACTACATACTTTGCTTTCAGATTGCATAGCTGATTTCCATCACCTCTCTGCTGTAAATGGTTTTATGAAACAACTTTTGATAGAGTGCATTTATAGTCTGATTTGTGTTGTTTTCTTTTCCTGCAGTTTTCATCTACTCTATGCCAGGTTATACCTGTAGTATACGAGAACGAATGCTCTACTCTAGTTGCAAAAGTCCATTGTTAGAAATTGTAGAAACACAGTTGTGGATGCAGATAGTCAGAAAGGTAAGTGCAGTGGGTGTATGGGTATTTCCCCCATTCCTGTCTTCCCTTCTTAATGGAAAACTATTAACTGTCTCTGTCACCACCTTGTCTAAACAATGACAAGTGTTGTGTAACTTTGTTTGTCCTGAACAGGAAATAATTGTTGATGGAGCTAGAGATACAAAGTTAAATCATGGAAATATTACTCTTTTTCATAATTTCTACACTTTTATCTTTAACAAATATGTCCTTGTGCATCAAGGAAGCATTTGAGAGTATTTGAAGGACTTTATAGAATGAAGATGATTTCTCATTCAAAGTTGTGTCATATTTTGGACCACAACACATTTCTGTTGTCAAACACTAAATTCCTTTAAAGCCAAAGTTAGGTAGGGATTTTCAACATAATTTCAAGCTGCAGTTCTGAAAATTAGAACTGTTATCTCAGGAGTCCTTGATTGGACAAACAAGCATTTGCGAGTAAGCTGATCTTTTCATGCTGTATAAATTTTACTGCAATGCAAAAATTTGCTTCTCACCTCCTGAGCAGAGACCACAGAAATGAGGTCCACTTGAGACCTACATTACTTTTTTAACACTTTTGTGGAAACTTAGTTTCTGTGGAGATTATGTTTACCTTAAAAATAGCAGAGTTAATACTAATCCTTTTTACTGAGATGACATGAATTATCTAGATTTTTGCTATGTCTATTTGTACATATTTTTTTTTCTGAAACTGCCTTCCTACAACAAAATTAAAGCACACGTGACTCCTGAAAATTCCTGCAGACAGAAATTTCTGAAGCATGTACTTGGAACAGCAAAACTGGGGCTGGCAAGTCTGTCAAGTGTTACAGTGGGCAGGGCATCAAGTGCTGAATGCTCAGCAGAGCAAGGCCATTTCTAAATTCTAAATTCCTGCAATTTAAAACAGTGGAGTTTGGCTTGAGAGTACTATTTTCTTTCTATTTGATTTTAAAATCTCTAGATTTTGAAAACTAAACCAGTCCCCTCCAGTTTGTTAATTATTTTAGCTTTTCCTTGCTAAAAACCTGAATACTTGTTGAGTGGCAGTAGCCAGCTAATAATACAGACTTCTTTATAGACTTGCCCCTCTTTCTCAAGAGATAACAATATTGTATGCATGCTGCTTATACAGTTAGTGTTTAAAGCATGTTATAGTGAACAATTTTGATTCTTATAATGTGTAGATACTTAAAATTAATAAATGAGCACTAGTTTCACATGGAATGTGTTCTCCTAGTTAGTGTTAACAGGTACACTGCCAAAGCTTGGGACAAAAAAAATTCCTTGGCACATGTACTGTTTAGTTGTGCTTACATTTCAGGAAAATAATTAAGTCATACTTAATACTGGTAAGAGTATAGGGGAGTCTCAGAAAAACGATCCAAGATTTCTCAGGTCATTAAGCACAAGTTTTCATGCTTGGCTTTAAACATTATTGCACATTTGGCTTTAATATAGTATTGAGTTTCACCAAAGTATCTGAATGTTTTTGACTTTGAGTATGATGTTTTTTTCTTACAGATTGAAATAGATAATGGTGATGAGTTAACTGCTGACTTTCTTTATGAAGAAGTACATCCAAAACAACATGCTTACAAACAGAGTTTTGCTAAACCAAAAGGTCCTGCAGGGAAGAGAGGAATACGAAGACTGATTAGAGGTCCAGCAGAGACTGAAACACCTAGTGATTAGAAATTGTGTTTGTATTTGTTAAAGTATTAGAGTAAGAAATGGAATTCTAGCTTTTGGTAATGAACTGAAATCATTCCATTCGTAGATGCTAGGGATATAAAAAAAGCTCTTTTTACTCTTCTCTTTTCTGACCTCAACACTTTTTATATTGTTACATGATTATATTTGTTGACCATGTTTTATGACATATAGAAGAGATAATTATTTTAAAGCTAGAAAAGAAAATCTAAGCTAGTGCTCCTTTATTTTGAATTTGACTCATTATTTAATAGCCGTACATGTGATCATAAACTTTGCATAAGACTATGAAGCCCATGTATTCTGTGGGTCACAGCTGTATTCTTATGCATAGCCTATTAAACCTGTAAGACTTTCCATGTGAGAAGAGATGAAGGACTACATAACATTGTCCCAGATAAAACTTTGTATTTCCTTGTAGCACTTATTATGGACAATAGTAAAATAGAAGGTTGTCTTTGGATTTTGACAGGATGCCTTGCTGGATTTTGTTGTTGTTTTGGGGTTTTTTTTTCTTGTAATGGAAAAGATAAACTAGAATTAGTTACTGTTCAATTAATATAAGCATTCAGGAATAGGAGGACATTTTCCTAGGCAAAAACTTGGTCATCTCAAATTTAACTAATTTCATGAATTATCTTTTAAAGAAATCTGACATAAAACACCATAGCTTTTTCAGACTTCTCTATCACTTCTGTTACATATTAGGTACTGAATGACCAAGTATAAGGTGATTAAAAGTCCATGAGTTAGGTTATTATTAGATTATTAATCAATAGATTATGGATCTGCTTTCAGAGCAATATGCCTGAAGAATCTAGTAAGTAACTAATTATTGATGCACTTAGATCTAAAAATGTGTAAGTCCAGTAAAAATTGAAGTAGCCTTGCTTCATAACAGTGAGTTATGCTTAAGGTCCTACTGTGTTTGCAGTATCAACTGCAATGTCTGCTTTCAAGATATTCTGAAAACTACTTTTCCTAAATATTTGAACTTCAATAGTAACTTACATCTGTAATTTAAATCCAACTAGGTCTTGAATAACTGCTGGCAGCAAGCCCCTAGTTAGGATTTTGTGGTTTTTTCCCTCTCTTCTTCCCTTCTTCAAAATATCAAAATCAGCCAGAATAATCAAGTCTAAATTTGATTGAACTGTAAGTAATGTGTTTAACAGGAAGAGGAAAAGTAGATTATTTCAGTAAGTGCATTAAGGGAGAATTAGATGTGGAACTCAAGTATTGGATCATCTTAAATATTTAACTGTGTGATGAAGCAAATACTCATGAATAGGTTATATTCCCAGTGAGGACTTGCATTTTAGTGTCTTGTATGTGACCTTTGTGGTTTTTGAGTTTTGTTGGTTTTGGATTTTTTTTAAATCTACATGGGAGTTGCCAGCTTGGTTCATTGGATATTATTGTAGCTGCTGGATATAGTCATTATAGAGCTGAATTGTGTGTTTACCTGGTGGAAGATGGACTTTAACCTAGTTTTGTAGGGAATAATGTTTTGACACTAGTGGTTCCTGATAAAAAATTATTTAATCTATTATTTGGCTATACTAGCTTGCTATTGACATCTGAGATTGCACTATGTAATGTGAAGGTTGCAATATTTGGTTTTACTGTGGTTTTTTTATATGCAGCAGCAATTTTACACTTCAGCATTTTAATTTAATTTTACACACTACATCAGTCCAATTGAATAGCTCTTGATCCTCAGCTAATCTTCTGCTTGCCCTTAGCTCTTGTGTTCTTTTCCTGCTTCTTGCCTTCTCCCTCTAGGGTAAGGAGCTGATCTTCTAAGGGTTTCTTGTGTATTATGTGTCAGGCAAGTGTCATTGTTTTTTAAATATGGTTACTGTGTGTGCAACTCATTGTACACTGTAATTAAATGTATTTTTAGATTAACTCAGAATATTTGCAACACATCTAATTCACTTTGGAGGTTTTGTTTGGGTTTTAAGGAGTGTAGCATTTAAAAATTACTGCTTGATGGTTGTGTGAATCTAGTCCAAGTTGAAGGAAGTTCAGCTTCTTAAGACTAAATGTTTAAAATAATGAACAGCTTGACCTGATAGGGTTGTGTGCATGTTGTGGGGGTTTTGTTGGATGTTTGTTTTGGATTTTTTTTTCCTCTGTTATTTTGGTTGATTTTTGTTGTTTTGTTTTTGTTGGGTTTGTTTTGTTTTTGTAATCCTTCCCTAGGTAGATGAGGATAGAAGATGGAAAACTTAATCTGGAGGATGATGAGAGCTGGTTAAGTGATTATGCAAGAGCATTTATGATGAGCTGCTTTAGAGTTCAGCCCAAACCAGACATTGTAAATTACCTTACGAGTCAGTCATGTCCTGAGCATGTCTCATCCTCACCCTTCCCCAGAAAGAGAATTGTATGAAGCCTTGCACAGCTGGCTGCTTCTCCAGGCCTCTTGTAGCTATTCTCCTAACAGCAATAAGTATCTGTTCTTTTTGTAAGATCTATCATGTTTACATCTACATAGTTGCCTCCACTTCTGTTTATGAATGTTTAGAACCAGTGCAAAATATGGGCATTAATCAAAGTTGCTCCTTTAACTGTCTCTGGTAATTAAATAATTGAAAGTGTCCATTCAAATTGTTGTTGGCCTTCATAAAGTCCAAAAGCAATGCAGCTGCTTGCAGTTAACTCATAAGCTATTATTTAATAAATGTTTATGTTGCAAGTTAGGGAATCTTGATCTTTTAAAACACTCCTATCAAAGATTAAACTAATCAAGGTAAAATTTGTCAGATAGACACTGTAAATAAAAAATTTGTTTATCAGTGTGTTTATGTGTTCAATGAAAGCCACCTTCAGATGCTAAAATTAATGAAGTTTACCTTATCTATTTTGTAATTTACTTTATAAATAAAGATTGATGCTTTAGCTTGGTGTTGTCTGAATCAGTCTCTTTGTAATAGGCAGTTTTCATGGGACTAGAAAGTGACTGCAGGGTGTAAGAAGAGAGGTGAGCAGAAACAGAATTCCTGGCTTTTGCTATTAGAGAAAAATCACTATGTTAGGAACAGCTACTTTCCCATTGCTTTATGGGAGCAGCACGGAGGGCTCCATAGCAGGATCCAAGGATCTCTTGAAGTTTTTGTGCTTTCAATAATAAGCCCCTTCAAAAATTTCTTCTATCCTTTTAAAATGCTGAAGTAGTTGACTGGTGATTTAACAGTTCGATCTGCTCTTACTTGCTCAGCATGAGCTACTGTAATGAAACTACTTGTAATGTTGTTCCATTAACACTTTGTCTAAACTGAAAATAATTTGCTTGAAGACCTCCTCTTGCCCTGGAAATTCAAGATGAAAAGAACATTTAATGGCTTGGCTTTTCTCTAAACTGTCCTGCCAACACATCCCCCATGGGGAAATATTTGTGATGCAGCAATTTTATAATTGAAAGAAGAAAATCTGAAGATGTGAACTAGGACTGCAGAGAATAATTTTAATGCCAAATGCTAATTATAATGAGAGCTATAAGAGGAACAGGCAGAAGGTAGGAGGAAGGAATAGGCTAGGCCTCTATGTACCCATGAATATCAGAAGCAATTTTATTTGCCTTTTGGTCAGTGGGTGGTAAATAAACCCCCAGCTGGAACACCCAAATAGAAAGATGAGGCATTTCCCATTTCAGTAATATGAAGTGCTGGTGTCTTGGCTCAGGAGTCAACTGGACAAACTGATCAAAGAAAATTTATAATAGAGTCTTAATAACTTAAGGAAGACTGTACACCCTTTCTAAAGTTACTGAGTTGCAAACTGTACAAAGCCACTTTATTCCACTGCAGTATCTCTAGATACATATCCTGTTCTTGCTTTTGTTCCTCAGCAACCACTTATGGCTCATCCCAGCCCAAGGGCTGTGCAGACACCTCTGCTCTGGCAACTAACAGCAATTCTCTTACTCCTGCTGTGGCCAAGGGGAGAACTGTTCCCCTTCCTATGTTTTCCTTAAAAGACAATTTTCTTTGGCTCATTAGTATTTTCTTTCATCTTGCTATTGCTTTCTAATTGTGGAATTGCAGTAAATCGCTCTAGCTATTTTTCATTCATTTGTCCTTCCCTGGGTGACTAAATTGCTTTATAATCCTTAACATATAAAAAGTTGGCTCCTTCCCTTAGCACTGTGATCCTCTGTTGCCCTCCATGGCACCTTCCCTGCTGAGACAGGATGTATACAAACCAGATTAGCCCTATCTCTGCCCCATGTGGAACCCACCAAGAACTGTGCTGGATTTCTCTCAGCTCCAGTTCTATGAAAGCAAATCATCCCATTACAAATATCTTGAATGACTCAAGTTACTGATCTGTGTCCTAGAAAGCCTTATTATAGTAAATAACACAAGTATGTATTCTAGGATAAGGTTGTTGCAGGGAACAAAAGAAACTGAAGTCAGCTACTCTTATCCTCTGTTAGTGTCTAGAGAGGTTGACTTTACTGTATGAAGACATCCAAAAAAAAAAAAAAATCAAGTGAGAAAGAACTTCCCTTTCTCCTTGTCCCCTATGTATTTAAAAAAATACCCAAACTTGGCGCAGAAGTTAGCTAATTTTACCTACTTAACCCCTCATATTTTTATTCACTAAAGTTCAAAACTTTTTTCTAAATTTTATGAAACAGTAGCTAACATGCTTCATTTTTAGTGAGGAAGGGAAAACTACTGCCAAAACCTCACTACTGAGAGCAGCACTGCAAATAGTAATGGTCTAGTATGACAGAGCAGGAACTCCCATGCTTGTAGCAGTGATTCTCCTCACACTGAAGAATATCACAGTTGGTGTATGAACAAAAACATTCTAGCACACCAGAGGTGAACAGAGCTGACAGCTGCTACAGCAAACACACTTCTGGACAACAATAGATATGTATTCCAGCTCCAGGGAATAGTAAAAAGCAGACATGATCTAATAAAAAACCTTCACATAACAGCTGGAGATGCTTAAAACTTCAGCATCAGCTGAAGAATCAGCTTCAGCAGATTTTATTCTAATTTAGCTTTATGGGAGCTTTTTTTTCCAGGTTCAGATCTGTACAGCTTTATTCCATGCTGTAAAGTTACCATAATGTTATTAACAGAAATGCAAGGAACATAAAATGATTATTTCCAAGGCTCACGGTTTTAATAGCAAAAAGAAGTAATAATGCAGAGTTTTTATTTACATTAACAGGTTTCTAAAATTTATACTAAAAAAAAGCTAGAAGCCATTAGGTAGATCCTTCTTTCTAAATTAAGCCAGCAGTTTGAAAAGGCAATACAAAATTAATTAATAGCTAGAAATCTAATGATATCATTACATTAGAAATCACATTCTTCCTACAACAAATATACATTCCTGAATGAAGTCACACATAATCATAGAATTCCAAATTTAACTGTAGGCCAGACTGTATTCCTATCCCTAAGCTATTAAGAAAGTTCACAAGGTGCAAAATGAGTTTATATGAAAATAACATCTTTCATTTACAATGGTAATATATTCATACTTAGTCCAAAGTATCTGGAGTCTTAATAATCACTTTCATTCCATTTTTAGTCTGCTTTGATTTGTCAATGTTTCTATTTTAAAAAGCTTTCCATTTAGAGTTTTTGAAGTGTATTTTTGTATTTAGTTAATATACATACATATATATATAAAACATATTAAAAATAGCTTAATTATTTGACTAATTAAAATGTGGAATTGGTCTTCACATCACTATTCTGACCCCTTTAAGAAAAGCAACCATCTGTATTTATAATCCATATGGACTTCTCTCCTAAAGTACTAAAAATACTCAATCCTCCTAAAATAGTCAAAGTAGCTAAGAGTCTTCCTGTGAATAAAAATTAAATGGTTTGTCATCACAGGGTTCACTGCAAGAAAGAATTTGCAAGTGTAAATGCATCTGCACAGCAAGATAACTATTTTGCTTGGGAATCCTTGAAATGAAAAAAACAACCTAGAAAATGCCTTGCAGCATTTATTTGCCTAAAACTAATACCAAGAAGACTTGATAACATTCACAAACCAGAACATTCACACTAACATGAACTCCCAAGCTAAAATATTAAGTAGACACTTATTTTAAATGGGTAACACAGTTACTCATACGCCTTTTTATCAGACATGCTAGATATTTGGAAATAAAAAGAATCAAATAGCTTATAATACGGAAATGCATTTAAAAAGCTGCAGGAGAAGATGATGATGTAACAGCACTGCAATTTGTTAATACAAGAAAGAGTTTTCTCATGTTAAGGGCCCAGTGACTAAACACCAACAACTCACCTTACATGTGCCTAGAAAGTTCTGGAAAGCAGAACCACTGATAATGTTGCACTAAATACTAATTAATAATTTGGTACTAGGGTCTCTATTACAGAAACATTGGTGTGTCAGAAGAAACACATTATGAAGTTTTTATCTCTTGGAGCTGCTGTTGGACCTGGAAGACAACAGACAGAAATGTAATTAATTGATACAGTAACCATATGCAGGGGACACACCCACCTACCCCCCAAAAATAAGCCTTTTATCTGAAAGACCACATACCATCTTAATGTCTGGCCTTCTGGTTTTTTTGTCATTCAGACACCGATCAGCAATTGAATACATTTTATGAATTGAAGGTACATCCCAGTCACTCATCTTTTCATCAACATATTCCTCAACAGTTGCTTCCTCATCCTCAATTTCGTCTTTTATACTTAACTACAAGAGATTTTGAACCAACAAGCAGATAACATTGTAAGTATCTGAACAGCATGTGAGAGTATAAATGAGCTATTATTTTTTATTAGTTATTTTTATTCTATATAATTCTAATTACCACAACACCATAAAGAAAATTTCTTTAAGCTGTATCATACAGATTTAACTGCCTCCCACTTTGAAGCTCAGTTTTCTAGTCTTGTTTCTTTTGTAGGAGAAGAGGCTCAATCAATAAAATATCTTAAAAACCCACAAGTATGCAATCTTAAGTTGGTATAATTTTTTTAATCACTTTTATAAAGTCTCTTTCTGTAAACCAAACTTCTGTCTCCAGTCTCAGTGACTGTGGTATCCACTGGAAACTTCTATTCAGAAATCAAATTTTAAATCTGACTGGCTTAATCCAAAAGGCCTCAGTTCCAACACACCTGAAATGGGTTATCTGTAATCACACATACTGTTTGAGGAAGCACAAATGAATAAATAAGTGGCAATGAGTAGAGGCAGATCATCTCCCTCTATGGGTCAGTCTGAAATTGCTGACCAGCATTCAACTGCCTCAAAATTTTCCTTTCAAGCTAAGGATGCCATATGGTCTGACATTGACCATTCTCTTTATGGCCCCAAAAATACATTACGAAGATAAACTGTACCAGTCACATTCCTTATTAGATCCTATCTCTGAAAAAGCCCACTTTAAAAAACCTGAGTTCTCCAAGGTGTTTACAAGCTCAACACAACAATTATTCTGCAACCCCAGAAGATATAGCTTAAAAGGACAAGAAAAATCTACTAATACTACACTGGTATTCCTAAATATTTGGAAGAAAGTGATTTATACTGTTCCAAACAGTATGGAACAAAATCAATCCAGACCTCAACGTTATTTCATACTTAATAAATAAATTAGTCTTTATGTAAAAAGTATTCTAGGAAAATCTTGGATTAACTAGTTCAGAACTTTGTTTTAAGCTATGTGAAAAGCTAAATTATGAAAAGTCTTGTAAGGTTTTTAATTCAAGAGAGTGAACTCTGAGACATTAGTTTCCTAATCAGTCGACTGAATTACTAACTGAATAGTAAAGAAAATTCAACCCACCTCTTACTGTGCAAGAAAAGCCCTTACATTTCAAACTTCACTAAGGTTAAAAGCATATGGTACTTGCAAATTGTCACTAAAGTTGAAGATGGAAACTGATACAGAATAATAAACAAACAAGAGATGAACAATTCAGCATGTTTCAGGGAACGAGGAATTACCAGGGTATCTGGGAGTATGTTAACAGAGTACAATGGTATTGTAATAAGAAGCAGTACCAAAACAAAGAATTCCAGTATCAGATTAGGAGATGATGACCTTAAGGAATGAACAAATCTACCAGCCAAGAGATAAAAGTTTCAGCCTCACCTCTAAGATAAACATTGACAAAAAAAGCTGTTTTCACAACTATATATTTTGATGGCTAATTTGATTGTCTCAGAACCTGTAAACTGACTAGGATTTCATATAAAGTAATCCTGGAGCAGTTGGAGGGAAGGAGAAAGCATAAAGAACATACCAGCAACTGTGGCTCCCGGTTTTCATCTACTGGAGGAAGACCTGTTATTATTTCTAGTAACACCTAAGAGAAAGAAGAAAAATCAGAACAGAAAATGAAGCACGGAGTAACACAATATTATTTGAAAAAAGGAGCATGACCTCCAGCTTGTCAACAAAGACTCTCAAGATCTGTGTTTGTCCAAAGATTTCCTATACAATTCATTGGTTTTGTTCCTGCCTTTATTTTCATTAACTGTTACTAGCAGCGTGGCTTACAAATTTCAACACAAGTTATTCTCACCCTACATTGCTCACAGCAAGACTGAAGAATTTCCAAACTATTCAAACATAGTGTTAGGCCTACCTTCCCATTAATGGGAATGGGAAATGCTACGAAGTGAGTCAGTAGTGAGCAGGGTCTTGGATCTGTTCAGAATGGATTCATTTTTTTTTCCAAATATTAAGCTCATGTCTTTTTTGTACTCAGCTCTAAGGCAAATCCAACATGGGCATTGTATTTTTGGTGCTGAATATAATAAAACACATTTTTGGATTATTTTCTTCTTTTTCAGCCTGAGTTACACTTTTGTGCAATACTATGCAAGCAAAAACAGTGTTCCACACCACTTCAAACCACATTTAGCTAGAACTTGGAATATTATTTCAGTCTGGTCCTTCACACAGCAAATCAACATATTCAAATGGTTTTAACACAGTCAAAGTTTAGAAACGCTATCTTAAAAAAATATCTACAGGGAGAAAGAAAAATTATAGACCAGTTTATATACTCTATTTTGTATGCTTTTATCATTTAAAAAAGAAGTCATATATTGCCCACATTCTACTTACTACTCCGAAACTGAAGATATCAGATTTTGGTGTTATCTCTCCTCGCAGAGCTTCAGGTGCCATATAGGCTGCTGTTCCAACAATTCTTTCAGTCATGATTGTCTGTGTGAATGTTACAGATGCTCTTGCAAGGCCAAAGTCAGAAATTTTAGGCACGTACATGTCAGTTAATAAGATATTTGCACTGGTGGAGAGGAGAAGGAGGGGAAAAAAAAATAAAAAAGAATTTTCCAAACAGTACAGTAAACAGGTTTTATGACAGACTAGTAATTCTTTAGGAACCAAATGTAAACTACTGTTTTGACTATCTTGAAAGCTACGATATTTACATAAAAATCTAAAGGTATTTCATGAAACAAGTTATGTAAATTTAGTTTTGTTGGCAATTGCTCAATTTCCAAATTCCTTCCTCTAAATAAATGAAGAGCTGACTGCAAGATCCATCCATGTTTTCTCTTGTATGTGCATGCACGAATGCCAAAAGGAAAAAAAAAAAGGCAAAACAACAGAACACAAGGAAAAAATCTAGACACTCCCCCTTAGAAATACAAAACTCTTATAACAGACCAATTATGTTATATTTATGGTTTGGCTTTAAGAGGGACAATAGAGAATACTTAGCTCAACTTCTACTGGATCACAGTTTAATTCTTATAGTCTAAATCTCTTCTCAGAACTAACAAGAGCAGGTTTTTTTATATCTATTATCTAATACTATGTCAACCATGATAAATTCATGTGCCAAATGAATAATACTCTTATTCTTGTCTTGAAAGAAAACCAGAAAACTTATTACTGCTAGAATATTGTATGTGCCGTGTTTTCACTTGACCTCCAGCTTTTACTTTCCTTAAAAAAAAAAAAGCAACCCTGACAAATGAGGCTCATCTCAAAGTCCTTAACGCTTTCATAGAATACAGTGTGGGATGAATTACAGCAGAAATCTATTGGGTTTTAAACTTGTACCACTAAGAACCATTTTAAAATAACTTGATTTAATATTTATGAAATCCTTTTTTTCTGATCCCTTTGATGGAACTATAAGAAAGCCACATGGCCTAATACAACATGTATTTCTAAAATAGAAAGTTGTATTTCTAACTTCTCCTTCCTCACCAAACCTGAACAAAATCAATACAGCTGTAAGTTACAATGGATCACTTGATATTAGAACTGCTGTAAGTAATGCTAGATATATGACCACTACAGAAGGCCAAACACTTGTCAAGGCATCATCCACCAACTGGTCTCCTGTTTAAAGCTCAACTTCTTAAAAAAAAAAAAAAGTAAAAAAAGAGAACGAGATCACAACTTCAGAAATGTATAAATGTCAGCTTCTTGTCAACTCGAGTTAAGTCCAAACAGTGGTCATTTTTTTGAGGTACACCAAAAAGAGCACAACAAATGCAAGTTTTACTGCAACTTTCAAGATTTGAAAGATAACTGAACTACTTCCTAGGCACAACCAATTCAAAAAACTATGAACAGCTGTGAGAACACACATTAAACCATGTCCCCTCTAGCCTAGAGAATTTGTTCTAGTGCCTGTGTTTTTATGAAAGGTCTCTACATGTCACAGCAAAATGAAGACTGAAGTTAATCTTCTTAGATGTCTCTTCATCTAAGTGTTATCTGGGAGTGGCAGCACTATTAATAGTACCAATCAAATCTATTGAACTAGTCACACAACAAATTGCAAAATGTTATCCAAACAAAAAAAACCCCAAACCCCAATTTTCTAGAATGATCAACTCACAGCAGTTAGAAGGGCAGAGACAGTGTAAGGTAAGAAGTGCATCCCTTCCAGTCATTACACTTCTCCAGAGGCTTAAGCAGGGAAGAAAGAAGAAACAAACTGTCAAAGCAGCAAGCACATACATGAGGCAGATGAAGCAAAAGCTTGCTCCCCAAAAACTGAAAGGTTACAAAAATGAAGCTGCCTGTATTTAGCAGAGTTGCCAGAAGCCAGAAAGCTACTGAAACATTCATCCATAACACTTAATTGGTCAGTTGCTCCCTTCTTTACCCTCAGAAGGAGTAAGGCATTAGGGGCTTTACTTCAAATATCTGGGCTGCTTTTTAAAAAATCCAATATAGTAAGCTGTAGCAGGAAATGGGAAGCAAACAATAAAAACACCAGAAAAAGCCAACCAAAGTCTACAACAAAACCCTCACTTAGTCTGAGTTCTGATATCCATGGAAAAAAAACCCTCTGGTACAACAAACAATGAACATTCATTATCATAGAAGAATCTTGAACTTCATGAATCTGACTGAAGTAATTTTACTGTATATTTTATGCATATATATACATACATATACATCATACACATATATATAAGATATATATTTTAATATATATACTTTACATACACATATATGTATAAAAAAAGAGAAGTAAATCAAAGGAGACACTCCAAAAAAGTGCTCTAGGAAAAAAAAAGTGTGTTTTTATCTGAAACATTCCATATTTAAAGATTAATTGTTGTTCAACAGTAGCTCCATTAGAAGCAGTTATTAAAGAACAGAATTTTGTGTGTTCTTATGGCACTCAACTATACGAAAGTAACAGATTATGATGCAAATTACAATTTACAGATTCTATTTATAACACAAATTACAATTACAATGCAAAATCTCACATCTGCAAAGCTGTCCAGCAGCTGAGGAAGCTGGAAGAAAAGGAGGCTCAGGGGAGACCTTATTGCTCCCTACAATTGTCTGACAGGAGGCTGGAGCCAAGTGGGGGTCAGTCTCCTCTCCCAGGTAGAAAGCAATAGGACAAGAGGAAATGGTCTCAATTTGTGCCACATGAGGTTTAAATTAGGTGTTAGGAAAAATTTCTTCACGAAGTGAAGCAGTGAAAGAGGCTGCCCAGGAAATTGGTGGAGTCAGCACAGTGAAAGAGGCTGCCCAGGAAATTGGTGGAGTCAGCAGCCCTGGAGATATTTGAAAGACAAGTGGATGTGGGCACCTGGGGACATGGTTTAGCAGTGGTCAGGGCAGTGCTGGTTAATGGTTGGACTTGATGCTAAAGGTCTTCTCCACCCTAAGCAATTCTATGGTTCTAACCCCATAATTATCTTCAGAAGTCTGTACTGGTCATGTCCTTGTGACACAGACAAGATTGTGGTGATGGATGTCACTTGCAGAAGATTGTGCCCTTGACTGAAGTAATGCTTTCTGTAGTTTGTTCTCTATAAAATTACTTTAACAGGGGAAAGATGAAAAAGAAAAAAGAAAGATGAAAAGGTGAAAATGCAGCCAGCAATAGTCTGCAGCTTTTACCTTTTAATATCTCTGTGAATATGATTATTTTCATGCAAAAAGTTGATGCCATTTGCTGTACCTTGAACAATTTTACACCTCATATTCCAAGGAATTGGTGGAGTTTCATCCTTGATTAAGAAGAAAAGGCAAGTAAAAATCTGAAAAATATATATACGTTCACATAAACCAAAACAAGCATACAAAAACCCCACAACCCAAAAGTGACTTCTTGCTATGTTTTATTGTTTTCAAGTAGATAATTAAAAACACTACCAGCATACATTTCTTAATTGACTTGGGCAGAAATGCATGCTTTTGTCACATTACATTTTTTCCCTGCATTTTGCCCTAGATTAAGTTGCCAGTTGCAAATAATGTTCTTGGTAATGTTTGACTCTGACCCTCCAAGGCCAGCTGCTATCCGTTATCTCTGCAACTCCCACTTTGTACTAGCACTGATATCAGAGCCTTCAAGCCGAAGCAAGTAATTCAAAGCAACCCACAGCTTTTATTAACAGCAAGAAGTCAATCTTCCAGTGTTTTTGGATTTCTTGAGAGCTTAGCTTTATTCATATTACTAACTAAACCCTAGAAATAAGTACACCTACATTTCAAAACTAGCTCTTAATCTTGTTAGTGGCCAAAGGAAGTGGATTACAGTATCTCACCATTCTACCACTTCCCTTGGCTGCTCAACATCCAGACATAACATGATACAAGCAAGAGTCTGTGCATCAAACACATCCAGTGAACTCACAAAATGAAGTCAGCAAGAACATATGTTCAAGTAAGTACATTACTCACATCTCTGATCAGATAAAGATTCTTTCTAATTTATAGATTCTGATTTAGATTTCTTGATTTATATCATAAATTTGTCTCTTCCTTCTAAAGGACTCAGTGATTTCTCCTTTAGCTTTCAATTATCCCCAATCTTTTAAGCTCACTTGATGATAACAGCCAGTTACATGGATTAACATTTTCCTACACACCCTTGTTAAGCACTGCTCATTTCTACAGATAAACTTGCACTATCCTTAGTTAAGACATCTCCCTTCTGCACTGATTCAGTTAAAAAAACCAAAATAATTCCACATGTAGCAGCATATGCAAGCAAATTAATCAATCCAAACTGAGACAGCAGTCCTAACTGAGCTAGCCCTTTGCCCAAGTACTGCTACTCATTCTCATCATAGCACCACTTCCTTCCCACTGGAGCAGAAATATTTGTGCAGCCCTACGAAGGAAATGTCTCCAGGTGAAAATTAAATCTTTCACCAAGTATTACTTCATCAGCCTGATCAGTTCCCTTTTCCAGATCTTTCCCAGCTGATAGATGCTTGAACCAGTACAATCAGAGAATCAGTGCAGAAAAAAAAGCAAGCCAAATATTTTAGGTCTGAGGACAAGGGTAGTTGAAGTAGCACCAATTTAAAATGTTTACCAGATTACAATCTCAGAAACTGCAATTGCTTTGTATTAAGCAGATTTTTGAACTCCTTCAACAAATTAAAACAAACACTAATCTACTACCTTGTTTGGCTTACTATTGCACTGTGTGTCCTTGATACACAGAGTTGTCTCAACAAACCAAAGCAACTTATTATTTACTTAAGGCCAAGGCTAGAAGATTAAATGAGAAGCATTCACACAAAATAATATTTTTTAAAAATGGAATTCACGTTTACTTAGGGCACTTCAGAAAGAGACAAGCAGACTAGGAGCATTGTATTATAACCGCTATCACAAGGACTGTGAACAAAGGTCAATTTCACAGCACAGAATCTCAGGAACCAGCACAGAACATGCCAACATCAGAACTGGGAACAAGACTGCAGCACCCTCTGCACAGCCTCACACAGGCATAGTCAGTCCAAGCCTCTGTGATGCTTCAAGTACCAGTACATGACATTGTATTGTCAACCTGATTTAACCTTAATCCATCTAAAATGTTTGTGCAAAATCTTATTGGACGAATACTTGTTATTAGAACACAAGAAGAAAGTAGTAAAACATCATTTGGCCATCACATTTGAATTCCATTTGAAAGACATTCCACAATGTCTAACTTACTTTAGCAAAGTAAGGCAATTGGAAGCTAGAAAAGATTTCACTTACCAGACAAGCAAGTCTGTCAAGCAATGAACCATTGGGCATGTATTCATACACCAGGCATGGCTGAGCACCATCACTTGAGAAACCAAGTAATTCTACTAAATTTTCATGCCGACACCTATAGCAAAAGAAAAATACCTGTCCACATTTGCTCTGAAAGACTCAACGTCTGAGGAAAACATAAGGCAGAGGAAACTTGATTCCCAATGACTTGTTTCACCTCTACGGCACAAAGTCAGGTTTGTGTAGTGATGCTTTAAAATAAAATGTGATTGTGCTGTATAAGAAACATTTTCAGTTAACATGCAAACTGTTATGTTAGAAAGACAAAAATTGTATAATGATGTACTCACTTTGCCATTATGTTTATTTCTTGCTCAAACTGCTGTTTCAAATCCTCAACACTAACATCAACCATCTATAAAAAGAAGTATTTGACATTAACATCACTGGTTCATAATAAAATGCACAGTTGTTCATTAAAAAAAAAAAAGAATTGTAAGCCTCTCTTAGTTAACTTTTCACAATACATGTTCTACTCAGTTCTAAAATAAAATATCAGAACACAACTTTAAATCCCTTGGAACACTATAACTAGATAAATGGATCTAGTTTCAGCAGTCAGCAACTTACTCCATTCACTACAGTTACCTTCTAATAGCACTTAATTACAAAATTCAATATCAACACAAAACAGTGGTATGAAGACTAAAATTCTGTGACAATACCTATTTAGCTTGTGAATCTTGGAAATGGAAACTTCCTTAGGACCCCTTCCCTTCTGGCACTTCTTAAGGGTGAGGGGAAAACAACTAAGGAAGCACTCTGCTCTTCCCAACAACATGTTTAGCCCCTCAAAGGAGAGCTATGGAGAAGGGAAGAATTAGCTCCTGCTACTGTGCTGACTCACAACATTGAGGGGATGAAGGATAAATTTCTTAATCCAACTAATGTGTAACATAGTAACAACACTTTTTGAAATGTATCATTCAACACTTTTCACAATAAACAAAGTAGACAAGTCGATACTATAAAGTACACAGTCATTAAAATGAAAAATTCCCAGGACCAACTCACAGCAATGAGTTTCTTGACAGCCACGTTTTTGCCACTGATGTAGCCTTTGAACACAATGCCAAAGCCACCTTCTCCCAGTTTATTACCTCCAGCTGATTCTGGTCGAGCATCAAAATTATTTGTAATGCTTTCCAAGTCATGAAACAAAAAATTCTGAAAATCTGAAAGACATTGACATTTAGCACAAAACTATGTTTTCGCTTAAGGAACAAGGTTTTCTGTTTCAGTTCTCTTAAAACAAAAACATGTTACCACACAAAACCTGATACAGTGGAGCCCTACTTCCAGCGCTGTGATGAAGATACCAGAAACACAAGAGGAAGGCAGATAAACATATATAATTATATATGCATAATTTTCTTCACAACTAGCACTGTAGCACACATCTGATTGTATACTGGATTCATACCTGTGATACAGGTAGTAGAAATTAGATGTATTGCAGATCACAGAGAGAGCCAGACTGCCTTATATTTAAAAAAATACGCCAAAGTTACATCATGTTTCTGGCAGCAACCCAAAAGTAGACCTTTAGGAAGGAATAGATCAACCACACACTTTCCTAAAATGCCTTCTTTAGTCATCTTTTCTCCAGCATTCTCAGTCATTTCTGACATAAAATCTAGTTTTAAAGCACGAGATGCTAAACAGTCTATAAAATAAGTATTGGAAAAGGGCAACAGATTATGTGTGGCAAAAAAGAAATTGCAGTTTAACTAACAGTTAAGTTTTCCATCAAATTAGGTGACTTATTGGCAAGATGCTCTTTCCCACAGATGCACCATGATAGAAATAAAGTCATCACTCTCATGTACCACTATGATTTATTTCACATGGGCTGAAGAACTGATCAGCAAAAAAAAATAGCACTAAATTCTACCAAAGTAAATGTCTACCTGTGTTACTGGACTGTGAGCTGCTGTTTTCTTCACTTAAGTAGGAAGAATCTGAATGCTGCCTCTCAGTACTCTGAGCTAAAACAAGCTTTACAGATGCCACTTCTATTTCCTGTACAGGTAGTTGTTTCTCATGTATAGGCAAGGTTTCCTGTGAAGAAAGAGGTAATGTAACTTCTTCTGGCGTCCTTACAGCTTCTGAAAAGGGAATTTAGAAAAAGTGTTAACTACATTAAGAGCCAGAGAAAAAACAAGTAATATTAATGCCAGTATTTTTGAAAATGAGTAGGCATGTAAGTATCTCCAGGTTATAGTCTGCTACCATGTGTAAACTCCAGCATTCTCATTGAAACTTGAAACTCTTATTTAAAGTGTTACTACAAGTGATAGAAAGTGGAAAATATATTCACGTTGGGTTATTTTAACCTAAGCCTTTCTGATTTTTAAGTCAGTGTGAAGCTCTTTAGCATCTTAGAAAACTGAGAACACAGTACAAACTGTACAAGAGTAACAGTTACCTGGAAGCAAAAGGCTTGCTGGTGCTAGGAACTGATTCCTAATCAGCAGATCCACAAGATCAGCAACCGTGCAGTTTGTGGTTCCCCAGTCATAAAGCAATTCACATGTGGGGCTCTTTCCCATTTGTACAAATGTCTCAAATCTCCTTAAAAGATAAGTTAAAACCAATATTAAAAAAAAGAAAAAAGTTACATCAAGAAGCATGAAGGGAAAGAGATTAAAGACAAATTACAAAAAAAAAAAAAATCCATATTGAAAAAAAAAATTGAACACACTGCAAATATCACAAATCTTCTGAAAACACAGCCAAAAAAACCTAAACACATTTAAAACCGGGGGAACACCATGCAAAATATGGGAAAAACTATGGGAAATGCATACATACATGGCTTCAGCTATTTGTCTAGGATACATAATATATTGGCACCTTGGACTAGCAGAGAAGAGAATGTCAGCCAGAGACAGAGTAAGTCAGACCCAGATCAAATGACAGAAATAGTTGCTTTGCATCAATTTAGCATTCATACTCCATTTTGAATATTTTGTGATGGGCATTAAGAAGTAATTAGATCCAGTATTCTGACTTAGTTAATACAACTATTGAAAGAAAAACAAAGATTTAGTCCTACTATTACTAGAAAAGACTGAAAACCCAAGACAATACATACAACATCAAAAAACCTGTCTTTGAAACAGCTTCAACAAGGAGCCAAGAAGCCTTTCAAGCAATGAGGTGCTCATAAAATATTGCGAGCATTATTTCTCATGTAAACTTGTTAGCTTTATGCCTCCCCACATTTGTTGGGCATTTTCTTGGAAAGAGTGAATTAGGAGTTACACTCCAGCAGTCTCTTGGGCACAGTAACACCAATGTCTAATAATCTTTAGGGTGCAGAAAATTATGCAGCCTCTGCTATATTGCTAAAAATACCCATGTCTGTAGCTCTAATTAATCCTAATTTCTTTAGTCAGTTTTCTGAGGCTTGCTTAAAAACTGAGTTGCAGAACAATTAGGAGTAATTACCCTTCGGCCCCTAAGGAAACGGGACTGTAAAACCCAAGTGCCCACCGGCATACAAAGTGCAGCAAATTACAGTAACGGGGTGGAAAACAGGATTAACAAGATACTTGTGTTGAACGGGTAATGCACGAGTTAACGTTACGGACGTATATGTAAGACCTTATATGCGCTTGGCTATATCTGCTTTCACCGGACGGGTTGGTTATGTCCACCGCAAGTTTCTTCCACCCTTCCTGCGGGTCGATGAACTCTGCCAGCCGCCTCAAGAGCCCGTAGCTCAGGCAGCGGACGTACGTGGAATTCGTCACGGGCTCGCCCATCCTCCGCTCCTGGTGGGACACAGCGGTTACCCGTGCGGCTGGCCGGGAAGCGGCCGCCCAGCAGGGCGCCACAGCCTACCCCGACCTCACGCCTCCGACAGCCGCCTCACGCCTCCGACAGCCGTCCCCC